TAAACTAATAACAAAACAGTAGCTGATTCAGAAGCGCCAGATATTCATAGCAAAGTCAGAATTACCTCTTCTCCTAGGTTCACGAAACGGTCGTCCATAAAATGCATTGCTGTTCTGTTGTAAGTGATCTTAAAGATTCCTAAATGCATCTACTTTCGGAAGGCCAAATAAAGTGCTTTTGCTTTTGCCTAGAAACACACAGCGTCTCCCTGACATGGCTGCTTCAACACTAACTGCGGTTACTGAAACCACGCCTTCTTTCTTTGCGTGCACATTTGGGCGGCATTATGCTAATATTTCCACATAGTGAGGTAGATATGTGGGGGCGTGTTAGAACGAGCCGTTTTAGGGGGGCGTGGCTGAGTCTTAACTTTGATAAATAATATCTCTTTGGTTTTGAGACTTTAGTCTTTGCAACTTCAGGGATCTTATCTATGCACAATCAGCTTGTAACACTCCAAAGAGAAAGGAAAACTTGAAATCGCATCATATGACCCCTTTAACTGTTTTAGTCTATTTGTACAGCAAGCTTCCCAAACAACATCGTTTGCACTTAATTGAGAATACACATTACCAGTCAAAAGTCTGGACGCACGTTACTAGATTTTCATGATTTCTTATCATCTTAAAAGCATTATGATCTAAAGCCGGGCTGGGCAACATTCGGTCCTGGAGGGCCACTGTCCTGCAGAGTTTAGCTCCAACCCAAATCAAACACACCTGAACAAGCTAATTAATGCCTTCAAGATCACTAGAAACAAAGCCACTGGAAGGCAAGCCTGCAACCTTCAGCCAAAAAAAGCGTAAAGGCTAATGCTAACGTAGGGGAGGAAACCAGAGGGTTTTTTTTTTATTTTTTTTTGAATGGATGTCAATGGAGAAGAGGCTTCACTATGCTGAATAAACAGCTTTTGTGAGGAAATAGCTTATCATTTAATGAATCGACAACCTGTTTGCTAATCTTCAACATGTTTAACACGAAACAATACTTTCGCTGGGATCTATATGCAGATTTTACCTTGATGAAAATGTTATTCTTTTAGGAGAAGGCAGAGTAGGGAATGTTGCAACAGGTAGGACTCATTTACGGCATTATTACCAGCAAATGTGTGTCGCATTACTATTTAATAAAAGACATGTATTATTGTATATTGTCTAAAAATATAGATGTTTTCTTTCTTTGGTTTTCAGGTTTTACCTGAAATTTGACTTGAATTGTAATAACTATGTGACCATATGCCTTATGTTGATATAATGAATTTTAATGAATAAAGGACATTAATTATTTATTATTATATTATATTGTATGTTGTTTAATGAAAATAAAATGTTCTTTCTATGGCTTCCATATTTCAACAAATAAATAAAAAATTTTAGTGACTTGTATCAGTGTTATGTATGCCCAATCATGCTGTTTTTTGAATGAACAGAATAAAATCTAATCTTAAATCGCAGTAACTAGTAAGTGACCAGCAATTTGCACTCTTTTTTTACTGTGCAACATAAACTGTAAATGACTGTTGTAGATCTGTGAAAGCCGGGCACTGACGTCACTGCCATTGTATGATTGGCTGAGGTGCCTCGCGTGATCCAAGTTAGCTGCTACACTTTTTGCAAACTTTTTTAGCTAAACTCTGCAGGACAGTGGCCCTCCAGGACCAAAGTTGCCCAGCCATGATCTAAAGTCATGCTTAAATGTTTTAAATTATTTTTGTGACTAGTTATTAGTTGTTTACATATTTATCACACACAGACACACACACACACACACATATATATATATATATATATATATATATATAT